TCAAAAATTGTGTGATGCACTACCATCACGAATATGATCTTCATTTCGTTGTATCTTTGTCTCATGCGGTGGATTCAGTTCAGTTTTTCATGGACATAACCCCTCTATAAACAAGTATGCAGTTATTACTCACTTACAAATGTAATAACCTGCTAATTGACGTGTGTCCAATAATTACACTCATCATACATCGCGTCAACCATCCTATAAGTGGCTACTGCTGACCAAAGGCCTCTTCTCACATGGAGAAGGTTTGAGCATTAATCACCACGGTTGCTCAATGTGGGTTGGCGATTTCAAACTTATATTTAGAAATTATAAGTCTAATTTTCCTCATGATGTTTTCCGTCGCCATTTGTCAGTGATGTCTAAATAATCTAAGAAAGTACCTAGTATAACTCGGAAAAAGTCACATTGGTACTTGCTGTTGGTAGGTTTCGAACCCGCACACTATGCACGAGAAGCGGCCGTCTGAGACCTCGGAGCCACCACGACATACACCACGACTATACACATAATTACACTCAGGTATCAGGTAGTTGTTATTATAGGTACCCACATCACCTCAAATATTTGCGCGCGTTGCGTACTGTTCCGTCAGAAGTCCCACAACACTCAATGCTACTAACAAACAGACTGTCTGTCTGTCTGTCACCACCTACTGACAAAGGTATGTCAACATAACAAGGGCACACATTGTGAACATAATATTGTTCCAGTTATATCGTCTATTCTCATTTACTCGTATTGGCCTTACATATCGTACTAGTCTACAGTCAACTTGTACATATATTTCACACACCTGACACGTGGCACAAGCACACATTGACTTCCATTCATTATAATTCACAAATGGGTAAACTGGATACGAATCCAGGAGTACAGACACGACAACGAGTTGATCATGATGTGTGACAGCACGAGTAGGTCATAGTCAACAGAACAACTTGCATGTGTAGCACATCAGACTATCAGTAACCAAACCAATCAACGCTCAACGTACTAAATGTAGAGAGTACAATCATTAATTAATACCACCAGCCGAGTTGGTAGCCAAACGTCAGCCCATCAAATATTAAAAAAAAATATCCTCCATCAGATGAAGCTCGAGCTCTTCCAGCCCAGGTCCTAGATGCGCATGCGCACGCTACATACATGCTGTGTCGCAATCAGATGCAGAACTCTCTCGGTATGTTCATCCGTTTGCCATCCATATGTGTCAAAACATGGATCGGATCGCTAATAGATATTTGATTGAGCATCCGGTGCTGCGCATTCCTGGAAGCAATCTAGTTCTACTGATTGCAGAGACAGAGCTGCGGGTACTAAATAAATATTTGTTTATACGTAAATATTATTTATCATATGACATTTGAGTTGTATCATGATTTCCATACTAGGAAATGACCTTTCTATTTTACGAATGCCCCCGGCCCCGTACACAACTGGAGGTAGAAAAATATTACTGGCTTTTTGGGGGAGACAAGTAATCTTCTCCCAGAAACCTCACTCACAAAATTAAGTTTTCTGTGTGACTCTACAGTCAGTTACATTAATTTGTAGTTGCTACGGATTTTAATAAATGAATAAACATTTCACTCTATTACTGTATAGTTAACCAACTTCTGATCACATTCTCACTCTAGCTTCCCTCTGCGCGCGCGCACGGTGCAGTGTTGTTTCCGATGTTCTATTACAGTATATTTTTTAAACGGTTTTCTTTAATTTGTTTGTTTGTGTCATTAATTATTAGAATTGCACTCCCTTCCCTTCTGACAAATCGCTGTGATTTTTGGTCTTAATCTTGATGACCATACATCATTTTAGAGGTATAATCTGTTTTTCAAAACGCAAGGGTTTGATAAATACAGAATATCCTAGCAGGATTGAAAAACGACAAAAACCAAAAAATTGCACAACTGTATGTCTTGGATTAACAGACAGTGGTACAGCTCTCCGAGTCCTACATCAAACAGATGAGTAGTCGCACAAACAGCCAGCAATCAATGTTTGCACACTAACTTACGCTGGATTGTATACGTGCGGTAACGTGTACTCGTATCGCCTTGTCAATGATCCCACAAAAACCTTTTCATGTGTAGAATGGTGACAAGACGAAACCATACGGCTGGTACAGATAAAAGTAATCAGATCTCATGTAGTGGCAAATTTCTAACCCTACGTTACGATCTCTAAATCCATTGACCTTATTTTTACTCCTTATTATAACTAACAACGCACTACGAGCTACGTACTACGCACCACGCGCAGCATAATACAGGCTACGAGCTACATACTACGCGCTACTGGCTACGTACTACGCGCTACGGGCTACGTACTACGCGCTACGGGCTACGTACTACGCGCTACGAGATGTAGTCGCGGCAATATTTTACATAAAACGTTATTGTGGCATTTCAATAATTTTATAAGTTGCTTATGCAACTTATGCGAGTATACTCTTTTTTGGAGCATATTTCTTGTACATCAGAGGTAACTTCACTGACGAACAGACTGACAGGCAATTATTTAATTTTTTATTTGTTGATTTCAAAAGTACCTGTTCGTGGTTTAGTTGGCTTAAATGCTTTGGCTTTGACTTTGCTACTAAGGTCAATATTTATAAAGTATATAAATATTTACAAATCAGTCATTTTAAGAGAGCTACATAAGCCTTCACATGGTTTCTGACCATCTGACGATCCGTATGCTCTTTTGCCGTCCTATACTACAAAAACACAAAACAAATTTGATGTTATGATATGATATTCTTCTTTAAATATAAGGATGGCCCGGCGCAAGTCGGGCCGGTGCAAATCGGGCCAGTATGCAACTTCTAAAAATTAAATAAAAAATATAAAAATTCTAGACTTTGTGCAATACACAATTTCAAACACTTTCTCGAACCAAAGGTTAAACTGAGGATTTAACAGTATCAACTACGGCCACGTCGTCCGCCCACAATAACTAAGTACTATTGTACTGCATAGTACGCTTGAAGTGCTGTGAATCTGAGTTCCACGCGGTGCATACTCACACCCGGCCGGTGTTGTCCACGTGTAGGTAACATGGCAGTTTTATTAATATCTCTTAACCTTCAGTAGCTATACATCATGATGCTGACTAAAGTCAAACAAGATTCATTCAAGGCTCTAACGGATATATATTTTTGCGTACTGTTTGTATTTAGATTTGGTACAATAACTTAATAATGAGGGCAAACACAAACAATATATTTAAGGAGTGATGTGGCGCTCGATGTTGTAACACCGATGTGTTTGAGTTATGTTATTTGTTCCTGTGCGATCCACGCGCTTCTACATACTACGTATTTAGATAAGTGCGTGTGTGCAATCACACGCCATGCATACGTCGAGTGCTAGTTAGATGGTTATTCAACAAATGCTGCTTCAAACTCAAAAAGCACAACGAATCTTTAATGGTGGTACAACGCATGCACCACCTTTAGATGTCCCCGTAGAGCGCCACTACCAACATCTCTATACCCACCTACACGAGTTTTGTTACTAGATACATCTCTCTAGCTAGAAATCGTACATGTATAACAAACCCTAACAAACCGTAGAATTAATTATTATGTTTTCGGCTTACTCACGTAACTGTTTGACGAGGACCACGACCAGTTTAGACGTAATAATTCATTTCATATGTCTCACGAAAGTTTTAATACAAACCATAGACTGCTACAATTCAGAAGCCGACTATGTAAGGAATAATATAATACCAGTGAACCCGAGGGTAGCGTCGTAACAGGCGTTACACCGCGACCGAGGGAGCTCCGGAGCAGGTCTAGCGAAAAAAAAATAATGCTCCAAATTCCTGCTTGTTAAGGTGTTGCCTTACGAATTCATATCTTCATCAAAGCAACGACCACATTGAGTAACTACTGAAAGCCATGCTACATAAACCTTGCCAACACTCATCGTCTGAATAAAACTATATAATTTAGTGAGAACATCATAATCACTCATGACCCGCCAGCCAGTCTTCCCTAGTTCGGAGGGGACGAAATAAGTTCTAACATGATACAATGGTACAATATAATTTATTTTTTAATAGTACATATACCGAACTATGTATTTAACTAACTACCTAGTTTTCATCTCACGATTGCATTGAGAATTATTCCCCAATAAGGAACAGCCAAAATTAGGTAAGTAATTCATCACATAATGAACATGAGTATAAATAAAGTTTAATATACCTATTGCGTTACACCAAAAATAACGGGTTACTCACGCAAATATATTTAGAAAAGCTCTACTGGTTTCAAGTCACAGGGGGACTCTTCCTCATGAGCAGCGTGCGCGGTCGCGGCGACTACATCGCGCAACCTATTGTGTAATTACATGAGTAAATCGATTTTTTTAATTTAGATTGTCTCACCACGACAGTTATTATTTAATTCTAGTATTCCCGATTTGTGAGTTAAATTAGCGTTTCTCCATCAGACCATCACTGTCGATACCGTGATAGTGAACTGACCTAGTAGACTAATTGAAATGTACTCAAAATAGTTTCAGATATCTTACGAATGTAAGATAACTAGTTACAAACAATAAATATATACCAATCGATAAGTTAAAATTAAGAAATAATAATGACAATCTGTATTTATGTTTGTATACATGTTTGATAACTGGCGCTCCGCTGCTCTCTTGTGTCTGTTTTTTTCAGGGATTTCAATTTTATTAAATACTGATTGTAAAAGCCCAAAAGATATATTTCATAGAATTTATTAACTCATGTCTAACCAGCAGGCGGGCTTTACAGTGATACATAATAACATAGATATCATAATATACAATGTGATGATGTAGTACGCCATGCAATGTAGGAAAAGCGCAGACTTACAGAATGTAGCTGCAGTACAAGTCACTTGAGACCGGCGCCGGCGCCGCGTTCTGTGACATGTCATTGTGCTGCGCGCTAGTGGTGTCAGCAGAGTGCCAGGCGTACACACTAACAGACAGCACCTCTTCAATACCGCACTGAATGTTGTTAACCTCGTGGTTATCAGCGTCGTGCCTACCCCACAATAAATATTTAATTAGCTCGCACATATAGCGCGCGCCACTCACTGCGGGGCCAGCGGCCGCCTCCTGCACACTACTTCGCACTACTCTGCCGGTGCCACTGCTGTACCCGTGACATTTCCACCGAGGCTATAAACTTGTTTTATTAATTTAGAACATACATATTCATTGTGTTAGATGCTATCGAGTAGTCCTATCAGGCGCACGTTTATTGCCAAACTGTGATACGAGCACATCGTGCACTAGTCGCGGCCTCCAGGACATGCCCCAGCGCTGCAGTGGTGCGGAGAGTGAGTTACAGTGAGATACGTGCGAGTGGCAGCAGTACCTGTGCCCACGGAGCAGGCACACTGACTATTGTGGTAGCAGTGTAAGAGGAACATGGCAGAGCTGAACGCGGAGTCAAAGCGCGTGCACCTGGACGAGGTGCTGGGGCAGCTGGGCGCGTTCGGCCGCCACCAGGCCGTCACGATGGCCATGCTGGCACTGGTCTACGCCACGAACTCCATGTACAACGTCAACTACGTCTTCGCCGTCGAGGACGTCGGCTACAGGTACACACACACACACACACTCATGCGATGCAAAACACACATGAAGAAGTGAGGTGTCGTCTCGTACCTCAGGACTGCTGACACTTGCTGTAGCTGCTTCATATGTCGTGCACATTCCACATTTTATCATTTTCAAATATATCAACTCCAAGTCTCCAACCAAACACAACGTTAATATAAAAATGTCGCGAAAGTTGTTTACAAGTAACAGACAGAGTCGCATCGAACGCTTAGTTTTCACTTTATGATACGTACTATAATTATAATGTTATGTTTTGTAACACAATTCTACATTCTTATGTGTAGAATTACACCTGTGTCGACTGTAGTGGCGTATTGAGCAACATGTAGGCAAAGCCAGTTAGAATAATAGCAATTAATACAACATGGAGCCATCCTCGCTTAATGTCAATACGAATACGTTAATTACCATAATGGTCTATAATCTGCCATTAAAAAACAACGAGTATTCTTATTATTATAAGCGCCACACTCCTAAAATAGATATAATGTTATTTATTAGATACCTGTTACTCCATAAGTTAATTTAGTGATCACTTATACAGCCCCTACAAAACAAACTACTGTTCTCGTCTCTGCTGTCACAAATGGTATAGTTCCAGTACATTCGTTCCACAGATGTAGGATACCATCGTGCGACGGCCCTGACGCTTTGTTCAGCGTGCCGTGGCTGAACCAGTCGCAGGAGTGGTCGGACGAGCCGCTCAAGCAGTGCCGGGCGCCCGTGGTCACCGGCTGCGCGCTCTCCAACCGCACCGGGGACGAGCTCTGCACGCACTGGGTGTACGAGAAGCCGGACAGCTTCACCGCAGAGGTTGGCTGCACTTATTAATGTGATGCACTGATGCAATTATTATTGTCATTCAACTCTGTTGATATTTTCTTATATAATTTCATAATTTGACTAATTTAAAAATGTGTATTAGGTATTTCATTTCCCGATTTGGATACGCGTGGCGAGGTCGATAGCTTACAAACGATGTGGTAGTTAATAATGTATCCTGCCTACCCCGTTATAGATACTTAAGCTCGTATTCCAGTAGCACCATGCACCCTGCCGGTCTCATAAACATGTTCACATTTAAAGAATTGAAAGCTGTATGCTTGAACCGCATCGAAGTAAATCTTCTATGAATTCAATGAAATCTATTATTATTTACTACCTACTTGGTACCTACGTTTAGAGGCAGTTTATAATCGAAAACCCTATGTTATAGAAATAATGAAAACGCTTAGCTTTATTTGTATTGTCGTTGCCACTTTGTCCTACACTTTATTACTAAGTGTTAAATACTCCCGAAAAAAAAAATTATAATATATTGAACAATGAATTCCTTTGGACTTGATTGAAATAAAAATCGTCTGGAACTCATTATATCCGTACAAGACAATACAGTTTGACAGCAGTATATAGTAATGTAACCTCGGTCACCACCTGATCATCAACAACAATACTTTTACATTACATTAAATTCAAATCTAATAATAGATACTTAATATTACCTATATAAGTATAAATATAACACAATATTTATTCTCTAAAGGGATAGATAGAGGTGAACCTCCACCAAGTAACTGTTTGAATGGCATTTAATTGCTTAATTAAATTATCTTGAATGGTAGACAAACATGGACGCGATCCCGCATGACATTGCACAAGTACTAACAATAGCTGGGCAAACAGTACAGATGCTCGTCAAACAGCTGAGATATACCTATATAAATAGATAACACTGTGTATATATGCAGCTACTATATTTACTGATATGTACACACCTACAGACAGACTTAGACATCATTTGTTGACAGACGAACTGGAAATTAATTTCCTCATAATTAGGGCGTTAATGAGACATGCGTAATGTTATAGCTATCGATGTATTGTTAGATAGCTGGCTAACATAACAAGTCATAATACGTGGTTTTTGTTCCAGTTCGGGCTGGCGTGTGACGACTGGAAGCAGACCCTGGTGGGCACCGTGCACAGCTTCGGCAACATGCTGGGCCTGCTCATACAGGGCCAGATCTCGGACAGGTTCGGCCGCAAGACGGCGGCGGTGTTCGCAGGCACGATGGGTGCCGCACTGGGCCTCACCAAGAGCTTCGCCACCTCCTTCTGGTTCTACATCGTGCTGGAGGCGCTCGAAGCGGCTGTCGGAGACGCGCTCTCTCCCATGTTCATGCTGAGTAAGGGGCCTCCTAGTTGTTTGCGCGATATTATAATAATGTCGTTTATGTATATTTCAATGACTGCCTTACATCATTTCCCATGGAGTTGAGTCGTATGCAGGCCACAGTCACACATTAACTACGTTACAAAATCCCGTGTTCCCTATCGTTTTGTTCTTTGTACCCAGGTATAGAAATAGTGGAGAAAAAGCGTGCTGTTCTATTCCAAATGATTTTACTGAACTGTTACACATGCGGCCTAATTGTGATGCCGTTCATTGCGTGGGCGGTGCCCTACTGGAGGAACTTTCTACGAGTCATATACGCCCCGACACTCCTCATTCTTACTTACTCCATCTTCTTGGACGAGAGCATCCGCTGGCTGTATAGCAAGGGTAGGAAAGAACGCGCGGTGCAGCTGATACAGAAGATTGCAAAGAGGAATGGCGTGAACATCGACGGTACCATGCTGGACAAGCTGGACTACGCAGACGAGGAGACCAAGACTGGCGTCAGCGACAGGAAGTTACTCATGAAGACGTTCAAATCAAGAATTATGATGCAAAGGTCAGTTTATTATGAAGTATGTTTCTGTCAAGCCGTGCAATAAATAGAGGTCTTATAACTAGCTTATATTTCTTTGTAAACTACAGTTTTTTCGTTACATATCTGAGTCGGCTCTGACCGCTCATGAGTGTCTTCGTGTATTACTCCCATGTACTTATGTTACATATACGATATTTGTGTCTGTGTGCAGGTTCCTGGTGTGCATGGTGTGGTGGTTCACTATAACGCTGATCAACTACGGCATGATGATCAGTGCGGTTCACATCGCCGGCAACAAGTACGTCAACTTCTCCCTGCTGATGCTGATGGACATTCCCGCCAACGTATTCTACTGGCTGGCACTCTCCAAGTACAAGAGGAAGATACCACTCCTCGCATCATTCATGGTTGGAGGGATATTTTGTATCTCACAGCCTTTCGTGCCTAAAGGTGACTGAAGCGAGCAATTATTGCAGTGCGTTATACACAGCAAGTGATGAATGTGAAAGGATTCTGCGATTGTTGCAGGCTACGCGTGGCTGGGGCTGACGCTGTTCATGATGTTCGAGATGCTGGCCACGTTCTCGTACAACATCGTGTACATGTACACGTCGGAGCTGTTCCCCACCTACACCAGGAACTCCATGCACTCCATCTGCTCCGCCATCGGCCGCGTCGGCTCGCTTGTAGCGCCGCAGACACCGCTCTTGGTGAGTTATTCTTACTAGGCTAGCTTCCGCCGCCCGCCGCACAGTCTCGTCCGCATAAACAAAATTTATAAAAATAATATCTCATGTTTATCTATTTGATAGATTAATTACCACGAAACCATTTCAACTTCAGCAAGCCGAGTGTTTTTTTTTTCAAAAATTCAAAATTCGTTTATTCACATTAAATAGAGTTAGGTATTATTACATTTAATGGTTTTTATGTTACACTCTTCGCTCTTATAGTCTATTTGGCCTGTTTAGGGCTTATGAAGTGAAGTACATTTAAATAAGAAAGGGATACACACAGAACATATAAAGAAGGTTATACATAATTATAAACAATAATAATCCCATTCAATAAAATTCACAATATACTTTAATTAAATTAGGATCGAAACCAGTACAAATATGAAGTCAGATATTTTTGACTCGCTAAACAATATATATTTGTCGCGGGGAACCTAACGGGTTACCGAGGCTTCGGCTCGACGTGCTGGAGAAGGAACGGGGTGGCTTTAGTCAGTAGGATTCTGACACTCCCTTCCGCCTCACCCAGGCGGGAGCAGGCATTCGATGATTTTCACCCATTAAAATAAAATACTATATATAGTTACTATACATATACTATATTTTTATTTTGAAATAGAAATCTTCTTATTACACGGACCTCCTAGGAATGTTAGGAAGATTTGGAAGTAAATTATATTCTTAACTTGAGCAACGGCACATTTTTGTTGCAGATGTCATACTGGTATGGACTTCCAACATTTCTGTTCGGCGTGACGTCCGTAGTGGCGGGCTCACTGACGCTGCTCATGCCGGAAACAGCTCGGTCTGAGCTACCCGACACCGTCGCAGAGGCCGAACGGATCGGACGCAAGCAACTGTTGCCGGAGCAACAAAGTCTCACGCAACGAAACAGGAGACGAAGTTAGGCCATCGTGTTGATGTTGCGGGCCGTCGACTGTAACGTGTTCACAAGTCTGTCACGTTGTGCGCGCTGTACTCCGCGAGCTTCAGTGGAAGCTTACACCTACCTCCTCTCATGTGATATGTCTACACATTAACGTTCGCTTATATCTCGAGTGGATCATAGTTATATAATTTCCTTTGATTATATTTTCAAAGTTTATACTCCGTTGTTACTTTAATTTTAAGTTGATATTCATTATTAAATTATTATTCTAAGTCAACAGATCAATTATCTCTCAGTTGTGAGTTTATTTACAAAGACAGCGATATCCTAAAACAGTATCCCGTTTTAAGCGATTGTTTACTGAGTGACATCTCTCGTATAATCCAGAGCGCGATGTGTTTGAGGTTCGAGCAGTGTGTGTTGGCTCAGCAAACATCGGCCGCTAGCACTCATTGTGGACACATTAGCGGGCCGTGTCGCCTCATGTCAGCCTGTGTCCTTGCTCGAATCAATATGGCCAAAGATAACCGAGTCGAAGGGTAATTGGTTCTTTGAAAATCCAAATAACGTATTGTATTGTTTGGTCTTATAGTAATTATTGTCAGTTATTGTAATTGGGAGTTCTACCGTTATGACTGTTTAAAAAAAGCTGCCAATGTTCTTGTCCCTTTGAGCAAACTAAGTAATAGTAGGTACTCTAGAATCATCCCACGGTACCGAGTTATCGAGAGCTTCTTACTAAATAGTGCTACTTACTTTTGGTTATTAGTCGACGCTGTTCAGAACCTACTGAACACAAAACCTGTGTCCCCAAAAACCATAAAGTATTAAATTTTTGTTCAACCTGAAAATTGAACCTGAGATATGTTACTTGACAATCACAGACGCAACCACTCGGATAACGAGGTAGTCCTACCAAAAATATGTTCAGAAAACTAGGGATGACTACGGAACCGTGTACCTCCAGTCCTCCATACATACTTGGCCAGTTTTTACTGGTCGACTCGGGCGCACCTGCGCGTGCGACGACCTTGCACGCGCGAGTTCCTGCACTTGACCTTACGCTAGGCGTCACACACCACACACCAGCAACTACCACTGAGGGAGGACTACCAACAACTCGTGTTTGTGTGACTATCACCCTTTAAGTGTGGGAGAGTCATGCTTCAGCACGAATGGGTCGGCTCGACCGGAGTGGTATTACGGACTCATGGAATACCGGCGTAAAAAACGCTTGCGTTGTGTTTCGCCGGGTAGGGGAAGTTACCGGATGCTCAATCCCCAGCGACGCGACTCACGGGTCTCACAACCACCGCGAAGTCGCTGGGCGCTTGTGCAACAAACAGAAACAGCACGAGGTGACAATAAGCTCTCTCGAACCAGACACCAATTAAAACAACTTCATTAGTCCATTGCCAAACACAATCTACACTCACTCTGCTGAGCTGCACAATCATGATAATATTTGGTAATCTTAACAAATCTCTTCCCAGAGGTTATGTTCAGTGTAGAACTTACAGCTGAGCATCGCTAATGAAGGATGTTCAAGTGAAGCGGTCGAAATGACAGCGCACTGGTCGACCGCGGCTGTTACACTGCCTTATGCCCGTCACTTGGCTCTCTCAGCTATGATGGAGTCGTCAACTAAATGCGGCCTCGTTTGCAAACAACTGGTCATTTTGCGCATCGAGGACCTCCATTCAAGTTGCCTGTAGTGGTACTATATTATAAACAAGCAGGTATAATTTTATTTTGATGAGATCTTTACTTTTTATGTGACCGATGATGATTGCACTGTGGATCAATCAGCACTTAGTAAGCTGAGCATAATGGTGTTTTTAATCATTAAACTCAAAAGTTCCTTAAGAGTACGTTGTTTGCTTCGCGGGGTCCGCGCTACACACTCGATGTAAACAGCTTTTTGCAACAACGCAGCAACCGTTGCGTACACTTCAGTGAGTGACGAGTTGTGTAATTAATCACAAATAGGTAAAACAATTGAACTTATTTCTGCAAATAGGATACAGGGCAGCACTCTCACGAACGAACTCGTGCGAACGATGAGGTCGGATTGTGTACCTAAAACTTTTTGTTTCCGTTAAAACATTTGGCCTATGTGCCACTACCAAAGGACGAAGTCAATCAAATGCGTTCATAAATATTGTTTTATGGCTAACGTAAGCGAAACCTAAGTGATGTAAAGCTCTCTTAGACAGAACATTGTTGTGAACTGCTAGAGAAAGTAGGTTGGAGTGGTTTTGAGCGGGCGCCGGCGAGCGGTTACAGTACAGAGCAAATGGACCGGATTCCTGCACTACACGTATCCCTGCACCTAGCACTAATAAATAGTTACCGTTTACTCGCAACGACACAAATAATACTGCGGGCCGTCGAACTTGCACCCGGTCAACGCACCAAGATTTATCTCTTCATCCGCTGCAGCAGCCTGGTGCTGGCTGCAGGCGCCGGGAGTTCCAGTCGCGTCCCTGCTCGCGCGCACTGTGCGCACTCGGCACTGCACCACGCACACACGCACACACACAAGTCACAATCCACTCGCGGACACTCGCGACCGCCAAAATTCAGCGGTTGTCATTTGAAGTGACCAATGAGGCGTGGCGTGCGCGCGCACGTCGGTCGGCGGCGGGCGGCGAGCGCTTACTGCCGCCCGCGCGCCGCGCAACCTGCGACCAGCTTTTTGCTTTAAAAGCTCCACAGATAAAAGTAAAATGATTGCGCTCCCACGAGGCGCGGGCAGTGCGGCACACCGTCTGTACACCGACATCACACATTGCTACTTAGTCCGCGATTAGTTCATAGTGACAGTGGTGACTGCAGACACACCATCACATGGTGACGAATGCTTGGAAATTAATATATAACGAGCGAATTTGGGTGCCTAGGTATTTACGTATGTATTTTTTGTGGAGGTAGATACAATCATTAAATGACTTCTCCCACCGACTGACTGAAAAGCCTGCCTCATGTGTAATGCTTAATAGATATTACCCGAATGACAAAAATATATCGTCGTCTGGTCCCTTCCCCCTGCGACTTAATGCCTAGTACCAAGTTTTTATTATCAAACTAGAATGTAATATGCTTTTGTCATCACCTGATGGTAAGCAATCGACAGAGGTAACACCACACACCACGCGTGCGGTACCGGCCTTTTGGATGTAGGGATTTGAAGATCGGGGATTCGTGGGTTGGATAGTTTGAGGAGGGGAGATATCGGGCCTCTGGTAACATCATCCATGCGCGATTATTACTTAAGCAATAAAGAAGTAACATATATAACATAACATCACGCCTTTTATTCCCGAAGGGGTAAAACAAGTGAAACAAGTAAATTTATTTCTGCAAATAGGCTACAAGGCAGCACTTTTACACGTCAATTTTATCAAGCGAACGATAAGGTCGACATTTCCTAACTGACTACTCTGAGAAGAAATGCCGAAACAAACTCAGAGGTCCGTCTCTTTAAGTTAGGGTAGGCAGAGGAGCAGATTATGCCACTGTACAATGTAACACCCACATTTCACTATTTCTGTTATGAGTCCCATGTAATAGGGGGTGAGCCTATTGCCATATACCGGGCACAATTCCAGACTCCGTGCTACTACTAGAAAGAAAAGAAAGAAAGAGTAATGTGAAACACCTGAATATTGAATATTAGTTAATTAATTAAATAGTAAGTTGTGTCTGACCCGCGCTGTAGTTGAGTTTCTCGGGGTTTGCTATACAATAGTTAAAGGTAATTATGCATTGTTGGGAACAGGTCGTAGACGTGAAGTCTGAATCTGAACGAACCAATGCAACGTGGACGAGGGAGCAGCGGCTGTAATAACAGCGGCGCGAGCGCAGCCTGTGTAATTACTGCCAGCAAGCAGGACGTGCCGCTGTGTGAACGTCCACCGTGCCGTACATACAGGACACACATACAATAGGTGTACATACCTGTTGTATGGGAAGTATGGAAACCACCGTACTTCCCATTATGGAACAGTCATCAAATATTGTTAGTTTCATTAAATATTCATCATCAATTTCATTTAAATATTGTTTTTTTCGATTACCGAACCAAGCACACCGACAGTATTGGGTTATTTCGGCTCTTCGAAAAACTCTTACTAATACCTTGTCCGCAAGCAGTCTGTAATTAGGCTTTGTATATTGTAATATACTTTAATCTTTTAATTTAATATTTTAAATGTGAAATCTACTTGTTTGGATGTTTGTCAGTCGATCACGCTGAGACTATTGAACGAATTTTGATGAAATTTGGTATACATGCAGGGTGTCGACTGACTTTTTATCCCGGTTAAATGTTCCCATGGGATAAAACAGGAATACGCGGGCCACACCGGGGGAAAAACCAAGTAAAAATATATTGTGAAAACAAAACATATAATTTAACCCGCACGGTTACATTATATACTTATATGGGTCGGCGTTTGGCCACTACCTCTATATCGCTTGACAGAAGGCGATAATGCAACCTACGGTAGAGAAAGCCTGCCCATAAGCAACCTATTCACTCGAGACTTCAAAACATGCAGGTTGTACCCTTCTGGAAACAGACTCTAGCAAAGAGTTCTACTCGAAGTTGAAGCGGTCGTCTGTCGTTCAGGTGGGTAGATCATCTAGGTGCCATATAGCGGCGACCTTTTCCTCAGTCTGGATAATAAAAGGATAAATTAGATGATTAATTTCTCTCCAAAATTACACACGAGCCTGCAAGTAAAATAGAGAGTAAGTAACATTGATTATACTTGGATTATAAGTATTATAAAGTCCGCATGCAATAAGTACAGCATCAAACTCGTTCATATGGCGCCCCGGCAGTACAGTATATTCTACGCATGTTGCGTGAGATACCTACCTGGCCGCCAGAGGTCGCTCAGGTTGCAACCTGACACTGACGGGCCCCGACAATCTGGCGAGCCAGGTAGCAGGCCCCCTCGGCTCCAACAGAAGGTTCACTTTTACCAAATTAATTCGCAACATTTGTGCTCAACTTTATTTATTTATCCCTATTACTTACATAAAATAAACGCATACCTACGTACTCTCATGTAGGTACTTACATATTATTTCCGCCTAAAATAGAAGCCTGCATTTATTATTATGTTCTTAGTTCTTACTTATTAATTAACTGTAATATGTCTCTGAGAGAAATTTCCCTCACTTTGTTAGTGCTAGTGCAAGTCATTTGATGATTTTCCCCCCTTAAAAAGAAAAAGAAAGTGCAAGTACTGCGAGCGGGAACCAGCTACTTCATCAGAATCTTTTAATTCATTTAATTCAAAAATATTAAACAATACAATTTAATCTAGAATCATTGATGTAATGCAAATGCAAGCAAGCTTGAATACTGGGCTTCTGTTAGCACTCGCAGTGTGTTTGAGCAGTTCTAACTCTGTACAGCTAGCCCTGCGACTCGGCTCGTGTTACACTCGCGTGCACAAAAAATGGAGCACACCGCCAAGCACCACGTACGACATGTTCACGACGCAACTCGATGCGATGTTGGGAATAGTAGCACACACCACGCCATTACATAATATTATCATATATATATATATATGCATATATTGCACGTCACATGAATGTACGTACACTGTACTGTATGTGTATACCAGTATACCTCAAAATAAAAAGTGGTACCAACCAGGACTAATGTGCCCAGTTGTCACATATACAGGTCATGATCATAATGTTTGATCTTTTTATTATACTCCTACTTAATCTGATGCCTACCTGATTAACAAATATAAAATTAACAAAGAATTTTAGATGTCACAGTTTGTACTCACCTGACGAGGAATGCGCCACTGATTCCTTCGTATGCGTCGCAGCACGGGCGACGGTTGACAAATGGTTGCGATGTCCCGATAACGCTGTCAAATCACTTGGCCCCGGTGCCTGCAGCACCTACATACATACATGGGACGACATGTCCGGGCGACATGTCCGCCACGAGGCGCACTCTGCGCCTGTCCCCTCCACGTTGCACAATATCATGTTACTACTAATTGCCAAAGACTATTGGAAGGCGTACAATTTATTTTTTAATCTATATAAATAAAAATGATATTCTGTTCGTTAGTCTCGCTAAAACTCGAGAACGGCTGAACTGATTTGGCTAATTTTGGTCTTGATAGGTTCGTGGAAGTCTAGGGAAGGTTTAAAAGGTGAGAAAAAACTTTTAGGCGGTACGAAGTTTGCCGGGTCAGCTAGTAATAAATAAAATAGACACCCACCTAAAGTCATAGATACTTAAATGACCTTAAGAAATACGTAGCTATTGTATCTAACTTCTAAGCCTAAGTTAAAGTATCGAGATCAGTTTACTGAAGTCCCCGTCAGTGTATTTCTCATAGGGCCTTAGAATTATTTTTATTTCATTAGTCTTTAAACATTACTTCCAATTAAATTATTTATTTTAAAAACTTTCTATTCTTGTTATAGAGGTGACTGCTGCACACGGAGTTTGAGTACCAGGCTGGTGTGTTATATAGGCTGAGACATTACTTTTAACTTTGTTCGTTTATTTATTTAATTAGCCGCAGTACCAGTATGCCACAAGAATAGACAGTCATAAATAAAGAAAATAATTTAGTTCTTGGAACATTTGTGATTGTGGAGTGGCTGACGCTGACCACGGGACGCTACGCTGTGCTACGCTGCGCCTCGTACGCTGCGCGCTGGCACGCCGCACAGCGAGCACGAGCCGCGTGCCTATTGGTCGCACCTCGCTGGGCGTGGCGTACGTACCAATCACGGCGCCCGGCTGCACGCCTATGTTGCTCTAATTACGATCTCCTATTGTCCACTAATTGTCTAGCTGTGTCGATACAAGCCACTTATGTACCGCTGCCGTTACTACTCGGACTGTATGCGTGCTCGTTACTAACTAACGTTGGGTACTCACTGGTGAGGTACGTACATATAAACCGTGTTGTTACTTTCATTTACAATTGCTTGCAACTAAGCACTGCATTAATAGAAGTTGCAATAAGTTCCAAGTGCCTGCTAATCATTGACGAAATCCAGCGCAAGTCATGTACAACACAAGTACCTGACAGGTTACTTAGTAATAGAGTACATTGCGATGTCCATCCGTTGTCGTGTCACTTGTCAGTCGCCATCACTAGTCCACTTCCTTCCATCGACTGCCTCCAGTCACACAGGACAATTGATCCGATGTGGCGTCTCCACCACCCCGTGTGCCATGCAGTGGACACCTCTAATGTATTGACCTGCATCATACATACATACACCAACAGTCTGTAAGTGTCCACTGCTGAGCTAACCCTCTTCCCACACGGAGAAGGTTTGAGCATTAATGACTACGCTTGCTCGTTATGGGTTGGCGATATCAAACTTACAATTAGAAATTATAAATAAATAAATAAATAAAATAAAATAAAAATCATTTATTTCGGACATCTAAGAGATCCATAAAATTAATTAATATCTATACCATACATTATTAATACCATACCGTCGCAGTCATACAAAATTTAGTCAAAACCATAATTACATTAAAATCAGTCATACTTAAACTTAAAGAAAAGATGTCAACATAGATCCAAAATTTCAACCAGACAGAAATACATAATTATTATTAAATTAAATTATGAAATAACTCTTCTCACAAAAAAAACTGCCTCGTTGGCTGAGTGGTCGCAAGTGCGACTGCCGGGCAAGGGGTCTCGGGTTCGATTCCCAGGTCGGGCAAAGTATTACTGGGTTTTAAAAAAATCTCAGTAGTAGCACGGAGTCTGGAATTGTGCCCGGTATATGGCAATAGGCTCACCTCCTATTACATGGGACTCATAAATAGTGAAAAGTGGGTGTTACATTGTACAGTGGCATAATGTGCAGCTCTGCCTACCCCTTCGGGGATAAAAGGCGTAATGTTATGTTATGTCTTCTCACAAATGACCTCCAGAGTGGGGATGAGAATCTATCCGCCAGTCTCCAGGATTTTGTTCCGGTTGGGATTTTGTTCCGGCTGCCACGCAATCTGCAGATCAGGGATGCTGTCTTTTTGCGAATAACGGCGTGAAATCCATCAGTGTATAAGTCCAGGCTTCCTAAGTTTTTAAACGGTGTCTAAATAATGTTAGAAAGTACATACTTATAACTCGGAAAACGTCACATTGGTACTTAGTAAGTTTCGAACCCACACCGTCATGCATTAGACGCCGGCGTCTTAACCTCCGGGCCACCACGACACAGTGTTGACCTGTTGGGATGGTATTATTAAGTAAGTAAAGTAGCGGCCGCCGCCCAGCGCCAACCCTACCTCAGCACAGTGGCTGCGGCGCGCACCGCTCCATCAAATATAATTGGTCCTCTGATCTGGCTGTATTTATGACGTCGCTTCCTTCACTATGACTTCTTTATTGCGTCCTTCATTACTGCCGTAATAACTGAAATGTCAATTAATTGTTACCTTGGTATGTGAAGCGGTTACACATTACATACAAAAAAAGTAATAAGAAATTGAAAACTACTAGGGAGTGGAATGCCTTGCCAGAGCCATCTTGAGTGAATAGATTGTTTATAAGCAGGAGTGTCACAACGCTTACCTCCACCTTGGTGGGTCAGTTAGGCACCAGCGTTTAAAATAATACTTGTTTGTCAGCTTTATTTGTTAAGAAAGCGATTCCGCAACAAAACCACAGTGTACAAGTTTATCGTAGTGATGTAAACATAAAACGTGATTCGAACTAGTTACCAGACGCAGACGCAGGTACTCGGGACATATAGGTATGTAATGTATGTACGCACTTACAAGCACCCGCATAGTGTACCGCACACGGCGCGGGCGCAGGACGCGGCCGACATCAAACGGTCGCTAATTATTATTAACCATGCAGTTAATTGCAGCGAGACCGCGCTGCCGCCGCCTGCGCACCGTCTGCACCAAATATGTTAATTAGCTAATATCTGTTATCTACATAATCCACACCATAAAATCGGTTAATGATCTCCTTTGGAGCTCCCTTTAAGGTAAACAGAGAAAATGGATCGCCCAATGACACGATTCTGATCTATAGATATACCTCTTGTCTACTATGAATATTTTTTATTTATTTATTTATGTACACACATTCAATACAGAGGACAATACATATATAAAAACAGAGTACATAGGCCCCACATATTCCAACTGGATTTTTTTCCTGTGGGCCTGTGGCAGGAAAAGATATAACAACACCGAGACACATAGTGTGTTACACAAACAAGATAAAAATCTATTAAAAAAAATAAATAAATTAGAAATAACAATAATAAACAATAAAACAGACTAATATAATATAATTATAAAAATAAGTAACCAAATAAATAAATATACCTACATATATGTAAATATAAACAAACAGATCTATGTTTCAGGAGGAAAGATAATGTTCTCTCACTTGTCTCTTAAAGACAGAGATTGACTTGGCGTCCCGAATGTTCGGCGGGAGTGAGTTCCATAGTCTCACTGCATGAACGTAGAAGGAGTAGGAGTAGAAGTCGGTATTATGGGGCACAATTTTAAGATAGGATTTAAGATGAGAACGAGTAAGGACTTCAGGAGGACGCACCAAGGAGAAACGGTCTCGGAGATAAGTAGGATAGGCTGGGTTGAAGAGGATGTTATAGAGGAGACATAATATGCGAGTGTTCCTGCGGAGACGAATTGGGAGCCACTTGAGCCTGTTACGGAATTCAGAAATATGTTCGAACTTCCTAAGACCAAAGACGAAACGGATACATACATTTTGTAAACGCTCAAGTTCATTTAATAGCTCCTCTGTGACGCCCAAATAGCAAGCATCTGCATAGTCAATGAGAGGCAAGATCAGCGCCTGGACGAGGTGAATCTTAGTCTTCACCGGAAGCAGGGTCTGGAGGCGCCTCAGCGAGTGAATGGAGAAATGAACTTTCCGACTAACCTCGTTCACCTGAGAAGCCCACGACAGGTTCGAGTCGATATGTACCCCTAAGTTTTTTGCAGTATCAGTGAATGGTATGTGTGTGCCATGCAAACGTAACGGACCAAGGCTAGAGACGTCGAGAGCGTTTCGATAATATCTGCTAGCGATGATCATGGCCTGAGACTTGAGAGGATTGATTTGCAGGCCAAAAGACCTAGCCCACTCGGCAACGCCATCCAAGTCCCGATTCATGTCGCGGAGAACCTAACGGGTAACCGGGGCTCCGGCTCGACGTGCAGGAGAAGGAACAGGGAGGTTTTTAGTCAGTAAGAGTCTGACACTCCCTTCCGCCTCACCCAGGCGGGAGCAGTCATTCGATGATTTTCCCCTCTTAAAAAAAAAAAAAGTCCCGATTCATGGCATCGATAGCAGAATGGGCCTCAGACAAGCCAAAGTGGCGATATAGCTGCAAATCGTCCGCATATAGATGGAAATTAGATGAAATGACCCTGGCAACGGATTAATAACGATTGAGAAAAGAACAGGAGAAAGGACGCCACCCTGGGGTACCCCAGCAGCAAGGTCACACCAATCAGAAAAGGTTTCTTCAAGGCGGACCCTCTGACGGCGACCCCGAAGATAAGACTCAAACCAATATTTGAATATGTTCACATTATGCTGCTCGATTGTCTCTGCCGCACTGTACCGGTACATGTGCTGCTCCGTTTGTAACTCAACCCTCATACAAATGTCTGTGTGTAGGTAACGGACTCCGTTCTATCATCTCTAGAACGCAACGTTACTTGAACCCCCTGGGCCGTGAGTTTTGGTCTTGGATTCAGCTTTACTGTACTTTCCGAGTACTTACTGAAATGGCTTTAAACTAATTTATTATAATGAATGTTCAGACCCCAATAAACAGCAATGGAGAGTATAGATACGCAAGGGCTGCACCTGTCAGCCGGCGCGCGGGGGTCGCGCACGTCTACTGCACGAGAAGACAATGAAGACGGAATTACATGTTGTAAACTGTCCAATTATTTGCTGAAGTCCGGTAATGAGACCTAATTACATTACACGGCGCGGCGGCTAATGAGTGGGGGGCTCCTAATGATGTCCCTGTCGTGGCCGGATGACCTCTCTATGCATGTACCCACATACCGCGCATGGCTAACCACGCCCTAAACATTACATTTATATCAATCACATTTTTTTTTCTATTCTCATTTTGTGTACAACTTACAAAACACAGAAATAAAACAGGGGGACAATAAAGGCTGGATTGAGAGAGAGGGAGGAAGAGGGAGAAGAACGAGCACAAAACTGCAGTCGTTACTCTTTTAAAAAAACTAGTTTTTTTACAATGTGTTCGTAGCTGTGTTACAACTGCGAAAACTTCTTTTCGTGCTCTTGCGTTAGTTAGTCATAAAATGGTATTTATTAATATTTGTAGATAATTAATAGTTCACCTGCAGATCAATCAATCTGATGGGCCTGCGTTTGACCACTATCTCGCCTGGTGGTCAGCGACGATATTATGATATAATATATGATATATGGATTGGGTCTCCGCTCCTCCGGTAACATCACTCCCACGGCGAAACACACCATAGATTGGGGCCCGTTAGGGCTGATGCCGTTACGGAGCCCCGGAGGGCTTAACGGGTTGTCGGGGCTCCGGCTCGAAGTGCAGGAGTGGAAACGGGGTGGTTTTTAGTCAGTAAGAGTCTGACACTCCCTCTCGCCTCACTCAGGCGGGAGAAGTCATTGAAGATGATTTTCCCCATCAAAAAAAAACTTATTTTACGCCGGTTTCCTGTGAGGCTGTGGTATATATCCGGACGAGCCGGCCCATTCGTACCATGGCTCTGCCACACGTAGGAAGAATCCCATCCAATACCGATAAAATCAGAAGGTATGTTCAGATTTTCAAGATAATTTCCCTGATTATAAATTACTTACTAGGCAACCTGATCCTATTGGAATTGACTGAAGCACAACCTTACTATGTAAAACACACAAAGCAGCAATGTATGTGATCGGTCGAGCTCCTCCTCCGTGATGACAGACATTAGCTCGCGCCGCGGCGCTATATAGCGCGCGCCCGCGCCCACACAGCACACACTCGCCGCCGCCATGTTGCTGTTGTTGCGCGCGCTGCCACTGCTCGCCGCCGTGCTGCCGCTGCGCGCTGACGTCAATGTCATGAAAGACGTCACCCTCGGCTTCGGACAAGCGTTGGACAAGTGTCGCCAGGAGGTACTGTTCTCACATTGCTGTCCACGCCAAACTCAAATATAACTAGTGCACTGGTCCAAACATTGTTCTTGTTACATGAACCTCTACCTAGAAAGATCACAAGTAGCCACAAAAACCGTGTAAACGGGCGATGATGGGAAAGAAATAAAAATAATCTCTTTCAGAGTCAACTGACGGAGGAGAAGATGGAAGAGTTTTTCCATTTCTGGCGTGAAGACTTCAAGTTCGAGCACCGCGAGTTGGGCTGCGCCATCCAGTGCATGAGCCGGCACTTTAACCTGCTGACCGACACCAGCCGCATGCACCACGAGAACACCGAGCAGTTCATCCAATCCTTCCCCAACGGTAAGCACTGGTCTGTGTAACGGCGTCCCGTCCGAGTCCCCGCGGCAGCAGTCGGTGTACTAGACGGCGGTTGTGTGTGCAGGCGAGGTGCTGGCGCGGCAGATGGTGGAGCTGATTCATGCATGCGAGAAGCAGCACGACCACGAGGAGGACCACTGCTGGCGCATCCTGCACGTGGCAGAGTGCTTCAAGCAGGCGTGCGTGCAGCGCGGCATCGCGCCCTCCATGGAGATAATGATTACCGAGTTCATCATGGAGGCTGAGGCGCGCTGACCTGCCCACTCACACACTCGGCAACAACTAACACTAGACGCGGAAAATGTTCTTTAATTAACTATGTTTGTAGAAATGAATGACTCTTGGATATACCTACGGGATGTATTTTATATTTTTAAGTAGGTAGGTATTTTTAAGTAGGTAAGTAATGTAAGGGCCTAAGAATACGGCAGCCGATATACTTCACGACTTAAGCTTGCAAATGGATCCGAACTATTAGCTATAAGGTCAATAATAATATTTACAGTTACATAATGATAACAATATTTAATTATTTATTAAACAAAACATTAACTCTATAACTATGACATTTCCGCCACCATCTGGTTCTGGACTCATTAAAGTTATGAACTGAAATCAAAGTGTTATTATTATCATCGAATTAGCCGGTAAACGAACAGACGGATCTCTCTGTTTCCTAAAGTGTAAAAGTATTACAAGTAGTAGAAGATTAGTTGCCTAACTTCCTTAACTATTTGAAACGATATAACTGCAAGTAAGTACACCAACATTCATTTTTCCCACCCAAAGAACAATACCTACCTCTTCGAGAATTACATGGCGTGATGTTTTGATAATAATGGGCTTTCGAAGTTTGCTTTTTGTTTTAAACATTTAACTAATTCCTTTGTAAAACTATTGTATTTCCAAGACAGAACCACTTTACTTCGGGACGAAAACGAAATAGATTTTACGGTGTAGAGGTGCAACATTATAAAATTTTCGAACATTACAATGTGGGCGTGTGTACGTGTACCATGTGTGTCTGATATTGTCATTAATTGTAGTGGCTTGGAGGTTCATGTGGCCTCTCATCAAACATCATGATCTATACCTGCGTACCATACCTGCGTGTAGGTCGCAGACACGTTAAGTTGACGGTTGATTTTAATCGTGAATCGTCTATTATAATTTATTTATTTATTTAAGGGCAACCAACAAAGCATACACCAAAATACAGATAGGTTTTTCACATATTTTAACACTGTATACTGTAGCCTTAATTAAAGGCTGCCACGACATGTAAAAAGAGCAGCATATTGCAGCAAAAAGTGAACTATAAAGAAAAGACATCTTAATAATACTTGTTTAATCACAATTATTAAATTTTAATTTTTATACTGTAAAATTTTAATACGAATGAAATATATAGTGGAGTTTAACTCTGTGAGAATGTCCTACGCAGGACAGTTTTCACCTTAAAAAGAGAGTAGGACACGTCAATATCCACATTAAGTGAGCATGACAGGCGACTAAATTGTTCCTGCATTCTATTTATTGTGGAAAAATGAGTCAGGCTTGTTTTTAAGCCTTTATCTGAAAACAACCGATATCTAGACATTCGAGCCAGTTTGTAGGGCACATTTACATTATCTGGCTAAGTAACTGCGGGCAGTCACTGTAATTGTCTATTAGTTTGTACAGGAACAGGTGATCTAAGATTTTACGGCGATTATCTAGACTTATTAATTTAAAATTAATACTGTTGCGCAAAATGAAACCCAACATCTTAAAATCCATAGTAGCGATTTTACCAATGTGACTATGAAAACGCAGCTTATTGTCTATGTAGACGCCCAGATCACGAATCAATGCTTTTTCGTAAACAGTTCTTTAGCTTATATTGTATTTACGGAAATGGGGTCCTATTTTTTAGAAAAATGCACATGATTGTATTTGTCAGCATTAAGTGACATCTTATTGTCCACACACCACCGTGAGAATCGGTCTAGGTCCTCTCAAAACAAGGTGCCACGTCATTCATGAATATGTTGATAAACAGGGAACCTAGATAGGATCCTTGGAGTACACCCGAGAGCATCAAGGTTATCAAAGGTATCAAAGGTACAAGTAACCGCTGACTGCGACTAGAAGTGCGTTCAACAAGGTAAGACTCACACCATGCGATTCCGACTAGGTGTAATTTGTCGACTAACTGTTTGTGATCCACCTTGTCAAATGCCCTGCGAAAGTCAAATCCGTATAGATAACATCTAAAGGTGTTCTCCCGTCTACGATGTTGATTAGATCGGATGTAAAGCACGCAAGATTCGTTCCCGTAGAATGTAGAACATAGAACATAATAATATAGTTTATCAATTCAGACAACTGAGATCCATCAGAATAATGGAAAAACACAATCATTAATAAGTATAATATGTTAAGTAAAACTATATTTTGTGTATGATTGTGTTGTTTCTTTAGGAACAATATTAATAAAAACAGGGACTTAGTCCGCTGCACTAATTTTCACATCAATAGACAAACATGTCTATCGCTAAAGAAGGCAGGATACTCTGGCGACTTCCTCGCAAGCGACTAATGAGCGAAGCGGTATTTTTGTGCCATAAAGCAGCGAATCCATCGGTGTGAGTATCAGCAAACATTGCTGACGCACTACAAACACGTGTGTAGTGTGTGACACCTCGCCCTATAAGTATACATAAGTAGCATACGATAGTTACTGAGGCACTCGATTAAAGTTATTCATTACAACAACACGGCTCCCTCTTTGCCCCACATTGCATGGCGACCCTGCCAGTGCTGCCACGCGGGCAGCGCAGAGCACGAGTACGGAGTAATGAATTTTTTCTAATAAAAATTAATGCAAATTAATAAGACTAAAAGTGCATCAGGGCTTAAATTTTTTAAAATGTGGTGATTTTGCTGGCTGTCGGACGGTGTCGTTGCAGCCAGATGTGAACCTGCCGGGAGCGTTGGTGTCCTGGAGGATGGAGCCGGGAGATGTTGGCGACCAGGTAGCGTTTGAGAGAATCTTCAACCTTGGTACGTGGTACGTGAAGTTACCTTCAACAATCAAACAACGCTTGAAACTAAAACTTACGTTTATAACAATAGATTAGGCACGAGTCGCACCTTTTGACTGCTCGCGTCATAGTAGTTAGCTCAACCTCACACATGCAACTAATTTCCCTATCGATTAATTTGCCGCATCGTTTTATTTTTCCACGAATCCGTTTCCAATGAGCACAACATTGTTCCTTCATTAACAATCATGTGTGTATCCAATGCGATTAATTTCGAAATACTTACCGTCGTGTGTCGGCGCTGCTCCGACGGGTTTCCTCATAAGTAGCGGGTATTTCCGGCAAGCATTTTCAATCGGCGCTCGCTTCACGGCACGTGGCACTGCGCTCGACTACGACGATGACGATGACAAACATAGTACTAGGCATAGAGATGCTGGTGCTATTGAGCGCAGCCTGTGCTCAGCTGGAGCTGGGCGTGCTGACACAGCTGTACTACCCGCCGCCGCCAGTGATGCTGGCCACGACCACCACGCCGCCGCCCCGCCAGTACAAGCGCGGCGCGCGCCTGCTCCCCGCTGCTGCTGCGGCTGGTGTCTGGTACTTGCCAGCAAGTAGCATGTGACGACAAATTCATCCGACGCTTTTTTATTAATTAAAGCTTTTCCACGTGATATGTCTGTTTTTTGAATGGAAAAACATCCAATGAGTTCTTCCGCCTTGAGCGAGGCGAGAAGGAGTGTCAAACTTTTACTGACGAAAAAACCACCCCGTGCGTAGGAACTCGTACTTGGAGCCGGAGCCCCGGCAACCCGCAAGTGATGTCTGGCGACCTGCACTTATATTTGCGAATTTATATACAACTAGCTGTTTCCCGCGACTTCCTCCGCGTATAATAATGACTTCTGACAAATTTTGAATTTTTTAATTAGGCTTCTCCAAGGTTAATTGCAATGCTGTGTAACAAATGTCATCAGAATCAATTTAGTTATATTTATTGTAAAATGTTTTTCATTTTCGTGATTTCAAAAAATAAACTATCCCATAGGGATTTTACCCGTATAGTATGCATACCCGTGAAGTTTTGGTGATTAAAACTCCATTCGAGTTCGAAATAAATAGGTACAGCGGTTGAAAACTATCAGGTGTCATTTTCCGAGTCCCAAACTATCATAACATAACATCACGCCTTTTATCCCCGAAGGGGTAGGCAGAGGTGCACACAGAAGTAACACCCACTTTTCACTATATATGTTACTAGCGACCCGCCCCGGCTTCGCACGGGTGCAATATGCATGTATTATACATACAAACCTTCCTTAAGAATCACTCTATCTATTAAAAAAAACCGCATCAAAATCCGTTGCGTAGTTTTATAGATCTAAGCATACATACGGACATACAGCGAAAGCGACTTTGTTTTATACTATGTATTGATATATGCCATAGTTATTATATTAAATACTTTGTTAATGTGTTGTGTTTATTTATTTATTTATTCAATGTTTGCACCTGAGATTTTCGGTGATTGCGATATATTCAGGTTGTTTTATCAGCCATTAATCGTCTTAGATGTAAATAAACATAAACATTAAACGTTACAATTCCAATGTTATATGTCACATAAGTAAATTCGCCTGTCAGTCATTTTAGTCCAAATTGGTAGTTGATATAAATGGCTTGCTTCTATTAATTTTGGGTTTCGTTACTTTATACTTTTTGGCTTACCCTGTAAATAGAGTGCATCGTCGCTTAATTTTTTTTCCCTTGTAACCAATTGTAGTTATGAAGTCACTTAAATCTTTTTTCCTGACTCTAAAAAAGTGCAGATTGTATTAAGCGACATTTATCTTTGTAATTAAAGGTCCGCTTTATTTGGAATTAGCATCAGCAACTTGATATTTTCATTTAAAATTCAATGCATTCACCCCGTTCAAATAACTGCAGAAGCGTTTTTGCTATGAGAAACTTTGACAGGGCTCTCCCGTAAAGTTGCAAAATTTTCGCTTAAACTTAAACCAAATAGCCCGTCACCCGTCGAAATAAAAAATTGAAATAAAAAATCTAAGTACCTACATTTCAAAAATCTACGTAAGATGGTCACTCAACAATCTCACTACAGCCTTTTTAAAATTCGGTAGCGTGTGAGCAAAAATATCCACTTCACCAGAAATTTCGTTATAGGGACAGTCGAGACAGAGCAGCACTCTTCAAGTTGGTTCTGGCAAGCGGTCGATGCAATAACCCAGCCCTGAGCGTCACTTTTCTAGGGACACGAGATGGCACACGTAAACCGACTGTTCCTAAAAGTGGCGGACAATGAATTCCGTATTTCAAAACCTTATACAGAAATGTCAAGTCTAGTAAGCGTCTCCGAATTGACAGACTTTCCATCTTAAATTTAAAACGCCTCAATTTATCCCTATATTACATTAACTGCTTGTGTAATACGAATGAGAAGGCGAGGTGTCTTAAAAATTTCTTCTGAATCTGTTCGATTCGAAGTTGGTGAACATTGTATTCTGGTGACCATACAGCACTATTCAAGGTTAGGTACTACAAACATAACTATTATAAAGAGCTATTTTA